TTATCCTTTAGGGGTTCCTCTCTATTTCATCTCTCTTCGGTCTTGAAACCGAGAAGTTGATTCACCTTTCCTTCTGAATATCGGTCTATATATAGACATATTTCGACCCTTGGGTGGTGATTCCCGACCGGTCTGGCACACGGTCCCGTCCCTTGATCTGCCTGAGACTCCAGGCATTCTCGCCCGGCCAAACCCAACAAAAAGAGGTACCCGCAGCGGAACCGCGGGTGCAAGTAACTGCTGCTTAACCGCAACGTAACAGTGGTCGGGAACCACTCTCGCCCGCTTCTCTACCCTGTCCTTTCCAATTTCCTCTTTGTTGGTTCCGCCATTGGTGCAGAGCAGTTATCGTTCGTGCTAGGCATCCTAGGATCCTTGATCCTCCAACACTCGAGACTTCTCGTCATGACCAAAGAAGCGCCGTCTCAATCGGTCACAGAGCTCAATGCCTGTGTTTCCACGGGCCACCGCCCTGCCGTGAAAGAAACCACGTTCCGGGAATGGGTGGTTGACAACCAAATCGGTACGCATGAATGATTCGAATCCCTCCTTTGTTCGGCATGCTTGCTCCTTCGACTGTGAATTCGATGCGTGGGCTCCGAGAGATGAGAACAAACAGTGGCATTGTCTTTGCTAACGCTCGATTGATGTCCAGGAATTTCATTGACAATCCTTTCCATGCTATTGGCCGTTCACCATCTCTACCCTTCTCTCAGACCTTATACCGCTCCGTTCTTCCAACTATCCTACTACCAACCTTCTCAAGGCCTCTACGTTCAAGGATGGGATGATATTTACTTTGTCGCTAGTTCCGCGATCGCCTTCACGGCCATCCGGGCCATTGTAATTGACTGGATTCTTCGACCAATTGCGATGCATGCAGGTCTGAAACGGAAAGCTTCAGTTCGGTTTGCCGAACAAGGCTGGATGTGGCTGTACTACGCGTCCTTCTGGACTTTCGGCATGGTTCGTACAATTCTCCCAATTGTGTGGCTGCTCCGGACACTGACTGTCGGTCTGTAGTACATTTGGTCGAACTCCAACCATTGGATGAATTATGCCGCCATCTGGGATGAGTGGCCTGCTCGCGGCGTCTCAGGCTCGCTCAAGTGGTATCTCCTGGCGCAGCTTTCATTCTGGATGCAGCAGATTTTTGTCATCAACGTCGAGGAGCGGAGAAAAGACCACTATCAAATGTTCACTCATCACATCATCACCAGCACTCTCTTAACCTCCGCCTATATATACGGCTTCTACAACGTCTCTAATGTGGTTTTGTGCCTGATGGATATCGTGGATCTCTTGTTGCCGGTAGGTCCCAATCGATATCTTTTCAAAGATCCCGTATACTGACTACATGGGTAGACGGCAAAGATACTGAAGTACTTTGGTTACGAGCTGGCTTGCAACGTTGCCTTCGTTGTTTTCATGGTCACATGGCTGATCACGCGTCATATATTGTACCCCCTGCTGTGCTGGTCCATCTTTAAGGAGGTTCCCGCGAGGATGTCGTACGGCTGTTATTCCGGAACGACAGCCGAAATGATCTCGAACAATGGGTACCCCGATCAACTGACCCATCTTTTCTACCCATTCTTGAATATCGATGGCCCTATCTGCATGAACCGCACCATCAAGTGGATCTTTCTATCCCTCCTGCTATTCCTTCAGGTGCTGTCCATCATCTGGTTCGCGATGGTCATCCGCGTGGCGGTGGGTGTTCTCCGTACTGGAAACGCAGAGGACTCGCGCAGTGACGACGAGGATGAAGAGGTGGAGACGACAATATCGAGCAAGGATGGCCCCAGTGGAAGTGCAACAAGTGCTGATGCCACCAACGCCGAATGGCGTCGATCGAATGGATCATCTGCCGTACGCCCTCGCGCACGTGGGCGGGTTCGGCTCGGCGAGCAGAGCGATCGCAAGGCACTACTAGGCAGAATCGGATGCGACAAGCCGACCTAGATGCGCCATATTTCAAATCCGCTTTTTTTCTTTTTAACGTTATCATGCAATTGATATGCAGCGATGCAGATATAAACGACTTAGCCAGCTTTGAGAAAAAGAGAGAACACAGACACGTTTTCCACTAACCCACCACATGCCCACTCCGGGCTTTCATCAGCAAGTTTCTATTTTTACATTTGATACCATGGATTGGGGTGATCGTATAACGAGGCGCGAACGAGGATGGACCGTTTATGAGTTGCGTTTCCTGGACTTTATTTACATTTACCCTTGCCGGCATGTTATTGAATTATGTTTATTCCACGGATGATGCTTGGAAGTCTGATCTCGAATCCGTGGAGGCTTTCTTTATTATTAATGGTTAGAGTGCAATCCAATACCCACCAAGTGATTTGAACTGATTATCACGATATGACATGAATGTGTATGTACGGCCGGATGTATTATAGATTCACAGACCCCATGCGGATGAGTCTCGTCATTTTTACGGACGTCAAACCCAAGAAGACATACTGGCCCTGTTTGCACATTATGCCGAGTAATTTCCGTAGCGTTGATTAGGGTAGCTTTTCAGGATTATTGATTACTAGAAGCGTTTTTACACTAGTAGTCCGTTCTAGTTCCAAGGTTGCGGAATGTATATAGATCGGTTACTCCACCCACCCTTGCTTCATAAACGCTGACTAGTAACTACTTCAGACACCCTTGCTTTTTGGGTCGGTGGCAAGGGATGATTAATTGAGTAGTAGGTTGAGTAAAGCTATCACAAGGTTTCAACTAATCTCAGAGACTAATTCTTCCCCTTATGCTCTGACCCCACACCACTGTCCATAGATTAAGCTATATATATATATATATAACTATTTCAAGGTGTGTGAACGTGTCATTTTGAAGAGTTGATGTTGAATAAAGTTATAAAAGGAGAATATCCAATGCCCATGTAGCTCGCAATGAAGAAAGGATGAACCAAAAAGACCCTAATGCAAGGCAAGTTTTCTTTGCTCATGATATCCGTTACCGTCATCATACTCGTAATCATCATTAGTATCATGAATTGACCGTATAGCAAAACACTACATTCAGGTCTGCTAGTCATGTAAGGATTGGTACATTTGTCTCTGAATATGGGGTGAAAGATCTGAGATCAAAGTCCAGAATATCTTCGCGCATTTCGTCCTCACTCCAAAAGTATTCAGCCGATCGCCGGCGCTTCTGCTGTCGAGCCGCGAGGGCTTCTTCATTGACTTGATCTGTTCCAAGGGCGCATTCTTGCTGTGTTAGAATAAAATCTATCAAAACTTGTCGGAGACGGTCCCAGCTTGTCCCGTGGCGTTTCCATTCCAGACGTTTGGCGATGCGGATCATTCGGGAGACGATCCAGCATCTCTCTCCTGCATCGCCAGCATGGCCGTTTGAATAGCCACCGTTGTTGAGGAAAAGCCATAATACAGAGGTAATACTGGGGTTCGTATAAGGATTGAGCCTTTTTATCTCCAGGTCCAGCCAGTCAAGGTACCGGTCGAAGTTGGAGGATGTTGAGTAGCAATCGTATAACGCAACAGCGAGGAAGAAGAGACATGACATGCATGTGAATTCGTCAATGAACCGCACATCGCGGATCCCATGGTCGTAGTCTGGGAGCATAGTGAGGATCGAATATAACTGAGTGCCGGGGCCAAAGCGCTTGTTGCGGTGACCGGCATTGCTAGATACCATGATAGAAGGTGACTCAAGTGCAGTGTATTCCAGTTCATGAAGGCGGCGAAAAAATCTTAAGAAATCCTCACATGCCCGGAGTTGGTCACAGAGGCTTTCTGCACCTTCTTCTGTTGCGAAATGATGGGGGATAGCAAAATGAATGTCGGCGTCGACAAAATCAAGTCCAGCGGGAGGACTGTCCGGTAAGGTTCCAGACCAAGGCAGCGAAGTACCATATATCGCCTTTGGAGCGCAACTGAAGTCAACCCTACACGGAAGTTAGTCGATGGCTACATGGAAACAGAGGATCAACGCTGCTGTCAAGATTACCAGTATAAGACTTTCTCCAGGAAAGGGCTCGAGGCTCGCATTCCTTGCATCCCTCCTCGATTTCTGATCATTGACGATAAGCCCCTGAAGTGCATCCGTTCTATTGAGGCATCTTTCGACCATTTCTCCATGGTGTCAGCGGTTGAATAAACAAGCAAGGATACGACCTACCTCGATAACTGCCATAGTAGCAACAGCGTATATAGTCCCATCATGATGACCCATCGAGTCTGCTTGGATACGCTCATTCATTAGTCGCAGCGCTCGCATTTTGTGGGTGAGACTCTGGACAGATTCCGCCTTTCCTTCCACACCCGCACGATGCTTGGAGGCAATGGCAAGCATAGCTTGAAAAGGAAGTTCATCATGTAATGCGAATTGTCGGAATATCTCCATCAATGGATTGTTCGCAATGGACTCGGCGAATTTATACATCATGGACGGATAAGTCACCACAACTTGAAATTGTAAGCCCCCAACCATATCATAGAATAGAACCCCTAAGAGAGCCTGGACATCCGCTGCTTACACCACTCTCAACTCCTACCAATTCTATAGGCAAACTCAGGGTGTGAGAGGATCGGGACTTACAGTGCTGGATCAGTTCATGATCCACATGGCTAACCGAGATCGGGTAGCAGCTAAAGGGATCTCGCCTGCCTCCTTCCCCAGGAGACGCGCGAGGGTCAGATGTCGCGAGTTCAGCAATCGGAGGAGAAGTCTCCTCTTCACGTTTAACCTTGTGCAGTTTTGGTATCAGCAACCGTGAGGGTCTTCTAATATGTTCGGTGTTATTTTGATCTTCGGTCTTAGTCGGAGATTCTGCCTTGACATTTGCATAAGTCTCCTCTTGCACCTCTTCCACGCGGGAAGAGGTGTCTGATACATGGGTATCGGAGGGAGGACGGGTGGTCCAACCACCAACAGGTATACGAGATGCCCCTAGGCGGGCAATGCTGTCCAAGCGCCGCTGATGCATATATTGACGCATAGCATGACGGCGTACCTGACGCCGAGACTCATTATCCGTAACTAGCACGAACTCGAAGTTTCTGGACTGGGAGGCTTGCGGGCCCGTCCTGGGGGATTGGTTGTTCTTGGACGACCCTGCCCCATTGCTCGCTTGATTACTAGCAGGCTGAAGTGCGTATTGGCCCGCTGAACTAGAAACATTTGAATCTTGAGAGTTGACATCGGGCTTTATTCCGGGCCCAACATCCTTAGCACCGTCCTCCCCCATCGTCTCATGATCTAGGCTCGGCCGGCTAAAGTTGGATGGCACAGCTCAAGCCGTGTGCTGGAAGCAGTTGAGTGGAGAACAGCTTGCCGGTGGGGAACGCCGCTCGTGAATCGGATAAGTAAGAAACCTTCATGCCACACTGAGATCACTAAGGCGGCATCGGATTCCTGGTGCATATCAAGAGTGTCGTGTTAGAACCAAAACTTCCAATGTTGGCCGTCTCCCCGATTTCCCCTTTCGGTGCGTTGCCCCACCGTCTCCACACGTGATTCATCCTTGCGTCTGACTCAGCAGCGTCTGTGGTTCTGCAATCCCCGTGGGAATCGGAGCCCTAGGTTGGGTGCCATGTTGATACAAGAAAAAGAATCTTTTTTTTCGCGATTTATATGCTTGGAAGTCGTGATAGCTAGGGATCATCATGCCCCGTCCAGCGCCGTATTGCTTGACCTTAGTCTAAGAAATAAGCTCCACATGGCGAAGGAATCAGTTCCGCAGCTCCCCATGGGGAAATCAGCTCTCACCCACTTCAAAGTCTGGTATTCGAGCTCAAGGGGTGTGACTGGTTTAGTGAGCCATTCTAATGACTGCTGACGATAAAATACAATGTGGAGACGAAGAGGCTCAGTTGGACTATAACCATTCTCCGGTCAACCCCACAAAGAAAAGGTCCCACAGAAAGGACAACATAGTATTGTGTAGCTTATCAACCGCAGCAGTAGGGACAAAACATAGTTTAAAGAGCTGCTTTGTTATGTGGCGCCTCATCCACCCGGCATCCCTTTGACCTCTTCCGCTTATCAATTGGCCACAAACACAGTATCCACTACTTTTGAATCTAGCCCGCTTATTTATACTCGGCATCGATTCACTTGGCGCGAATGTATTCATCTAGATGTGTATACAGCATAAGTAGTTTGACTTTATGTATTGGAAGCCAGTAAATTTATCTGCCGCTTTCTCTAAGTTTTGCCAAAGCTGTCATTATACCATCACTCATTCTTTCCTCCTGAGTAGCTTCGTCCGGATGGGCACGTTCAGGGAGGTCTCCCTGAGATGCCACATACGCGCCTTCTGCTTCTGCTTCTGCTGCTAAGAATTCTTCTTCATCCTCATGATGTGCATCCATTGAAATTGACACCCTGCTGTTTCGACTCGTCGACTCGTCATTGTTTTGACTATCTAAGTTTGCAGGCGCCACTAGTTTTCTCGATGCTTCCACCCTGAAATCTTCTCTCACCGCATTACACCATTGTCGAACTTTCTTCTCACCCCAGCCGGGTACAGCGCTGATCTGTTCTGGCTGCGCGTTGATAGCATTTTGCAGACTTCCAAATGTGGAGATGAGACTTGCCGCGTCGGACTTGTTAATGCTTCTGGGAGTCGTAACAAACTCAACAAGTGACTCCTTATACGACTGTGCTTGCTGGGTGCGGATTGCAGTTGGCTGGGAGTTTTCGGAGGACTTGAATAATTCTAGGTAGTGCGCAGCTTCAGGAGCGGACCAACAAAGGGTCAGGGTGAGGTTGTTGATGATTGAGGTCTTGGATAATTCCTTCAAACTATCTTCATGGTTTGGGATGTCTACCATAATCAAGAGAATACGAAGCAGATACTTCCCTGCGAGGAGTCGGATGCGAGAATAGATGTATTCAGGATGTAAGCGGTGATATTTCAACGACAGAAAGAGAGCACAGGTAGTGGCCCCAACCACGTAGTCAGCGGGGATATCGGCATATTCCCAGGGCAGGAGCTTGATATGATTCAGTATTGGGTTGCCCTTTTGTCTCGTCGACACAAGGATAGCTGAAGGGGTGCTTCTGCTTGCAAGGACCTGCGGCTTTGGCTGCTGGACTTTGGACGGCACAGGTACTGTGGGTATTTGTCTAGATGCAGCGACCTCGGACCTGGGGGTAGCACTGCCCTCTACATTTGAAGGAGAGTCAACCCCGGTACTTTCGCTGTACCCATTGGTCATGATGTCTGGACGGTGATCAAGGCGGAACTTCAAAAGCGGCACTACTAGCATATCTCCAGGGCTCAGTTGACCCAATCACTATCTAATCGCGAGCCGAGCTCTCTTCACCGCCTAGACCCACTTTTATCTTCAAAAACATCGCCGGGAATTTTTCTGCCGCTGATTTTGATGCAAAGCAAAAAAGAAAAAGAGAAGAGCAATTCAGATTGCAGTAATGGCTGGAAGGGACGAGACTAGCCATAAAACCCTCCCGGAAGGCAGAGGGAACTCAGAGGAGGTGGAAGCTGCCATGGACACCGCGAAAAATGACACAGTCAAGGAAGAATCGGCCTCCAACAAGCTAGAAGAACTTTGTTCGTTCGATCTCTGCCCGCCTCTGCGACGACCGAGAAGTTAGCGGAACATTTTTCGCAGTCCTACGTTATCAAACACGCTTTGGTCGTCAATGATTCGGAGACAAAGAAGTCCAAGGGATATGGTTTCGTGACTTTTGCTGATGTTGACGACGCGAAAGCCGCTCTGGAAGAATTTAATGGATCCGTTTTCGATGAGAAAAAGATTAAAGTCGACTACGCCCAGCCCCGTCACCGTACAATCGATGAGAATGCCGGGAAGAGTGTACCGTCATCCGCTGCGCTTGAGGCTAAAAAACAGAGAGAGCAAGAGAGGGCTACCACTCAGCCGCCCAAACTGATTGTTCGCAACCTGCCTTGGAGCATCAAGGAACCGGATGACCTTGCGGTCCACTTCAGAAGTTACGGAAAAATTAAACATGTTAATCTCCCAAAGAAGGGAAACAAACTTGCGGGATTCGGCTTTGTGGTTCTGAGAGGAAAGAAGAACGCCGAGAAGGCACTGGAAGCTGTCAATGGAAAGGAGGTAGATGGGAGAACTTTGGCTGTTGATTGGGCCGTGGACAAGGCTGTCTGGGAGAATACACAACAAGATAGCCAAGAAAAGGGTAATGCAGAGGAAGAAGAGTCAAGCGACGCTGAGATGGCAGACGACGCCGAGGCCGAATCTAATGTTGAGGATGATGAAGACCTCCCCGATGACGAAGATATGGATGACATCGATCAGAGTGACGAAGATGAAGACGAGGAGGAAGAGGAGGAAGAGGAAGAGGAAGAGAAAGAGGATGAAAGAACCGCCGCCACCGTCTTTATTCGGAATCTACCATTTACCTGTACAGATGAGACGCTCTACGAACATTTTACTCAGTTCGGACCCTTGCGTTATGCACGCATCGTTGTCGACCCAGAAACTGAACGCCCTCGCGGTACAGGCTTTGTTTGCTTCTGGAAGGCTGAGGATGCAGCGGCGTGTGTGCGCGATGCTCCAAAACAACAAGATACTATTGCCCCAGAGAAGGAAAAAGCCAAAAAGGGTTCCATTGCAATCAAACATTCCGTCCTTCAGAATGAGAATGCCGATCCAACTGGGCGTTATACCTTAGATGGCCGAGTACTGCAAGTTTCCCGTGCTGTGAGTAAATCGCGAGCTACGCAACTCGCAGAGGAAGGTGTTTCACGGCGCCTTGTTCGTGATACTGACAAGCGTCGTCTGTATCTTCTGTCTGAAGGAACTATCCCTTCGGACTCCCCTCTGTACAAGAAGCTCTCACCGTCTGAGATTAAGATGAGGGAGGACAGCTTCAAACAGCGACAAAATTTTATCAAGAAGAACCCAACGCTCCACCTTAGTTTGACACGACTGTCCGTTCGAAACGTCCCCCGCCATGTTACATCGAAGGATCTAAAGCAACTCGCTCGACAAGCCGTTGTTGGTTTCGCCCAGGATGTCTCTGCTGGCTTGCGCCAGCCCCTGTCCAAGGATGAGCTACAGCGTGCTTCGGAAGAGATGAAGGAAGCTGAGCAGCTCAGAAAAAAGAAAGGCCTTGGGGTTGTGAGACAGGCTAAGATCGTTTTCGAAGGACGAGATGGAAGTAAGGTCGAGGAGAAGAACAGTGGCGCCGGAAGAAGCGAGGTTATGGTTTTGTCGAGTATTTTACCCACCGACATGCGTTGATGGCACTCAGGTGGCTTAACTGCCACGCTGTCGAAGCCCCCGCAACCGGCTCTGAAGATGCTAAGGACAAGAAAAAACGACTCATTGTCGAGTTTGCTCTTGAAAACGCGAATGTTGTCAAACGCCGTCAAGAGCAACAAGAAAGGATGCGCAATTCCAAGAAAGGAAGTCAGAAAAACGGGGACTCTTCTAAGATTGGCGACTCCCAGAATCAAACACCACCGAAGGGCAATAAACGAAAGCGCTCCGAGAGCAATAGTGATCAAGGGCAGGATGGAGCAGATGCGGAAGAACAGAACAAGATTGCCAAACGCAATCGTATCATCGCAAAGAAAAGAATGCAACGGAGGACTCGCAAGGGAAAGGCGTAGTTGGGGGCTCAAAAGTTATATGTGATTGATTTTGTTCACAGCATTTGATTTATAATTACTCGTGTTTCCAGTTTTAGACATGGTTTACCTTGAAAGAAGCGGAAAGCATCTGTGATGCTCCATCAACATCTGAAATGAAAATAGCTCAAATCCCATGGGTATAGTACCTATGTCAAGGTGTAATGATAACTGATTCCGCACTGCCCGCTTGCGACTTCCTCGCTTGCCTTTGACATCAGTAGTTTGTAGCGTCTTTCACCTTTCCAACAATATTATATCTCTTGCTGAAGAACGTGAACCATTCATCTAAAACCGTCTTTTCCTTATCTTCGAGATCGTACCAATCAGGTCTACAGTCCTCTGGCTTCAGAGAGGAACAGGCCAGAGCTCGAGAAGGATCTTTTCCGGCAAAGACTGCAACAGCTTGTCAGAGTATTTCCTGACTGCTGGAGGACGGAGATGACCTACCGCGATATGAACCTTCCGGGCCATAAGCTGAGTTTTTGGATACATCGAAAACGATACCCTTGATGGCTACCCAAGTCGGACGATTGGGATCCGTACCTAGCGGTGTGATTGCTCTCGGTCAGCTTATTAACCCAGCGAGAGTGTAGATAGAATTTTGAGGTACTCGGCATCGTTTGGAGTGAATACGTACCGTCGCACTTTGATAATTCCTCCACAGTAATCGGATCATCCTTGGGGGGATCGAGCTGAACAGGAACCTTGGGGGTGAAACGTTCAGACATATTGGCACGATTTGATTTGAAGACAAATTCCTATCTTTCAATCAAAGTTGCAAAGGGATTAGAAGCCGTTAATATGTTTTTCGGTGTCGCGAAGTCAATAGTGTTCGGGCCGGCACAACGCGGGGCTGTCAGGCGGGGGGAAATTTCATTAAATGCAAAAACACCGACACAACCGTGGGTCTGACCGTTTTTGACGTGATTTAATTTGGATTATGTTCATGATAGTTCGTAATCCTTCTTGCCAAATTGCGACCAATGCTATTGGCTGACAAGATGGGTTTTATACATACTGCTATCCATCAGGTTCAAAATAGAGTTCGGCAATAGATTGGTTACTTCATTGATATGCATGTTCAATGCTTTTTTTTTAAATAAAAAAAAGGAAATGTCACTGGAAATGTCGCGTGGTCAGGCAAACTGACGTCAACCGCCACTCCCCAAAGCGTATAAAGTGAAGAACCATATCCAAGCGGAGAAAATGCTGACTCTGAGCTAACTCCTCTGATCATGTCCCTGATCTAAAAATCTTTCAACAGCATACATCTTCAGCTATCATCTACTCAACACCGCTCTACAGGGGATATTGAGAATGTCTTCTAAGCTGCAAGAGCCCCAAGGGAGCCCGCACACTCTAAGCTCGGTCCCGGAAAGCCAAAATCCCTCGGAGAACATCAGGGGATCCCGTGGAGCGAGCACTACCGAGCTTGATATGTCGCATTATCTTTATTTTGAAGATAACGATTGCTTCTTCCCGCCAACCGAGTTGGGTCAGAAACCGCCGAGGCAGGGCGAAAGACGAGCACCAAGGCAATCGCTAATGGATGCGGAACAACCGCGAGCCCCAGAGGAATAAGGGCCAAAACAGGTGTTATTTCAAGGTTTGAGGCTTGAAATATCTTGCTAAAAAAAGTAATAGCTAATACGCTGACCATAGCCTGCCGAAGAATCATTTATACTACTCTGGAGTCAACCCAAGAACATTCAAATACTTAGCCGGTAACTATTATTGTTAAAAGCCAATTCGTACTCCGTACTACATACAGTATTACCGGTAGTGCATGGGATTTGATTGTCCAAAACCTCTTTAGATTAATACATGGACCCTGGTAGTCGTCCATGACTATGAACAGCTTTTTTTCCCTTCATTCTTTTCTTGGTAAGGCAACCCAGCCTCAATCTCGATAGAAAACAATATACCCTGTACTTTATACGATATCTACTACAATACACCTACCATGTCAACTGTAGGTAAAGAAAGAGTACGTTAACTACGTAGCATGTGAATCTATGATTAAGACGATACCGGAAGAATCTATAATCCGGAGTGAATGCAAGCCAAGTGGAGCCTCGGTTCTCAGGTTACTGCGTGTTAGATCGCAGACTATTCAATTCTTTGATCTATCGGACATCCTTCCAAAGCCATGATGAAGGTTCTTCTCTGGGCTACTTGTGTGAGTGAGACTAGCTACAATCCCCCCACCAAATCAACGTACGGTGTACTCTGTCGGTTGACTGACAAGCCGTAAGTGACACGCTGAGATGTACCCCTCCAACAATGTGCCCCACGCGGGTTGCATTAGATTCCAACATACCCAAATGCGGTTCAAGTTAGCCCGTCACGGTGGGACATAATTTCCACTTCGGTATACTCCGATATGATTCTTGGACGCTTGACTGTCTCTCTGCCTCCATGGGACGCTGGGAAAGGATTCCCTGTATGGATTCCTTGTAATCGGTGTTACTCGAAATCATGGTCAGGATTGTAGTGGTCAGCCGCAAGGGCTGGTGGTTCAGCCACTTAGATCAGAACGAACGTTGTGCGCTTGCTCCCTAGAAACCCCATTAACCTCGGATGTCCGCTCTTGTGGGGAACCTCCCCCATAGGTGAGCTTCTACCACAATTTCGCTGAACGGTGATTTGCTCATAAGTTCCTTTCATAGTCACTACGATTGTAAACTACTGCATGTCCGGATCTTATTGGTTTTTTGGCCCTTATTTTATTTTTTCCTTTCTCGTTCCCACATAGTCGGGCATGATACCACGGTGATACTACTATGGTCATTTGCCCGGCTCAGCTAGTTTGCAAAATTTCTCTCTCACACCTCCTTTATCCGCAGATTATTCTGCGTCTCCCTCTTTGTCCTTAATTCCTCCCTACATACAACTGATCCCTCTTGAACGCCGCAACTAACATAAACATTGTCAACCCCAAAGGCCAGTAGTAATTGGCTATGGTCAACTCCAATTCAGACCCTGAGCGTGCCCAGGGGCCTGTTACAACTTCCCTCTACCATGGAGGACCTTCCACTATGTCGGTGGACAAGCTGACGAGACGGATGGGCACTTCAATGGATATTCCTGAAAAGAACCCCGCGATGAGCCACAGTGACGAGTCACTCGATGCTGGATCCAACATACTTGCCAAAGACGGCACACACCGATTTCTCAAATCACGGCATATCCAGTTGATTGGTATCGGAGGCACCATTGGTACAGCGCTTTACGTCCAGATTGGCCAAAGTCTGCTCAACGGTGGTCCCGCCAGTTTATTTCTGGCATTCACAATATGGTCAGTTCTCATAACCCTGTTGATGTACTCTTTTACCTGTCGCCATGGCTTGCATTTGATTGGGGTTACTGTGTCTCAAAGAACCTTCAATATTGGTGAGTCTATACGGGCCGCGAAGAAACGAATATTACTTCTTGTTTGATATTCCAGTTTGCAAAGGGGAAAAAAAGAAAAAAGATTTGCGGCGCCAATGAATATAAAGCAAAAGCATAAAACACCACTCCACAGATCCTCAATCCACCATGACATGCGCCTTGGTTTTTGAAGAGACAAACAGAGCCCAGACCCCACATTCTTTCCCACCCAAGTCCCATTTGCTACTTCTATATCTGGGGCCGTGGAGTCTTATACATCTCTTTTCTTAGGTGCTCCGTCATTTTAGCTATAACTGTTTGTACGAACTCCCACCCCTCAAAGCTCCGAATTCCTTGCCTTTCTTCGATATTGCCGCCAGCAGCATTTCCCTCCCAGTGCAGTCCCCTCGGTGGATGGCAATAGGTTTCCATAAGCGCCAAATTTCTCCCGTCTGTCCATGTTCATAGAATCTACCAGCTTTCACGGTCCATTTTCCCATTGCGGCCATGCTGGTCTACCCTAATGCGATCTCCCTTCCATGCCCTCCGTTATGTAGCATTTACTGAACAACAGGAACTCCTAGGTCTGGCTGAGATGGTCGTATACCTTCCCGTCTCCTCTCCTTTCATCCATTTTGCTGGCCGCTATGTCGACGAAGCCTTTGGGGTAGCAGCCGGCTGGAATTTCTTCGTCTTCGAAGCTGTGCAGGTGCCATTCGAGATCACTGCATGTAGTATGATCATCCACTACTGGAGTGATGTGGTCCCAACAGTTGCAATCATAGTCATTGTGCTTGTGCTCTATGCGTGCGTTATTCCTCGTGCGATTATGGGCAGCCCCGTGGAGCTTCGATTCTAACTCATGAGACTAGATTCCTGAATGTCTTCGCCGTAAATTACTACGGTGAAGCTGAGTTCTGGCTTTCTCTGGGAAAAGTCTTACTCAGTATAGGTCTGATCATTTTCACATTTATTGCGATGTTGGGTGGCAATCCCCAAAGGGACCGATTTGGGTTTCGCTATTGGCAAGAGCCTGGTTCCTTTGCAGAGTATTACAAAACAGGAGACCTTGGGCGATGGTTAGGATTTCTCGCTTGCTTGATCAAGGCGAGTTTCACCATTGCGGGTCCCGACTATGTGTCAATGGCCGCTGGAGAAACGGAGAATCCACGAAAGGTCCTGCCGAAAGCATACAATGGAGTCTTCTATCGACTCACATCATTCTTCGTTCTAGGAGCACTCTGCGTGGGTATTTTGGTCCCTTATAATGACCCGACCATGGCCAATGCATTCGAAAAGGACCTACCGGGCGCGGCTGCATCACCATATGTCATTGCGATGGACAGACTGGGTATTCCGGTTCTCCCACATATTGTCAATGCCATGGTCCTTGGAGCTGCCTTCAGTGCAGGAAACAGCTATGTCTATTGCGCCAGCAGATGCCTGTATGGACTTGCGCTGGACAACAAAGCGCCGAGAATTTTCAGGAAATGCACGAAGAATGGAGTTCCCATCTACTGTGTGGGACTTGTCCTGCTGATTGCGCTGCTTGCCTTCCTGCAAGTCTCCAACAGCGCATCAGTCGTGCTTAATTGGTTTATCAACCTGGTAGGTCACCCCATAAGCCATCTCCAAGCCAGCGGCTAAATCGTGCGCCAGGTTACTGCATCGCAATTGATTAATTTCTCGGTCGTTACCTTCTCCTATACTCGCTTCAGAAAGGCGCTTATCGCGCAAAACATTCCCCGCAGTTCTCTCCCGTATCAGAGTCTGGGTCAGCCTTACATTGCCTATATAGCCATGGTCTGTACGATAGTCATGGCGTTTGTAGGGGGGTACGAAGTCTTTCTACCTGGAAAATGGGATATTCCCACTTTTTTCTTCTCATACACAATGATTGGAGTATTCCCAATAATTTTCTTTGGGTGGAAGTTTTGGCATAAATCCCATATTCGAAAGCCTGAAGAAATTGATCTGAAGACCGGACTCGATGAAATTGACGAGTATGAAAGAAACCATGTGTCGTTGCCTTCGAGGTATGTGCTATCTATTCTTTCTCAAGTATTTCCCACCCCACTGTTATTCTTTGCATGGCTAAACATCCTCATAGCAATATATTCTCGAGGTTTGCCGATTGGATTTTCGGCTAAGGCTGTGTACATGCACTTCTGTTGTTGGGTGGCCTGTTGTCCAGGAACTTCAGCTGTACGGCGTTATGAATTGAATGGTGTAACATCGATATATCTGAGCAGCTCTCGTCGTAGAGTTCATTAACCTGTAACTGTATGTGAAGCCTAAAATGGGCTGGATTATTATACATAACCAATCAATCTATGAAAGAGAAAAATGTCTCCCTGGTACCCAAAGCATAAGTCCGTAACTCCTACACTGTAGAAACTCGCGACCTTTCCACCGTTTCCTGCGCCTATTTGCCCTCTTCCTGCGCTCCCTGAGCAGCCCTCAGTGCCTCCATCCGTTGTTTGTTTCTCTTCCCCAGCACCCGCAACGTATTCTTCTTCTCAATCTCCGCCATCTGCGCCCAGTTCGAGATCCGTGATAACGTCCCATCCTGGTTGACCACCAACGGACCCAAGTGATCCAATTTCACCGTCGACCCATCGCCGCTGAGATCCAGCTGCTGTGTCTGGTCGGCGCTGCTGGAGTCGGGAAGGGCGAGGTACTGCTCTGGTTTCTTTTCGGTGGCGGAGTCAGTAGCGGCATTGTCGGATTGTTGTTGTTGGATCTGGTCGGTGGACGATGACATTGTGGAGTAGGATTTTTCTTGATAGAGATTGGAGGGACACTGGGGGTAGGCAATCGGTGTACGGGTTAGTCTTTGGGAGAGGATTGTCGGAGGTGTGATTGTGGTTGAAGCGCGCGTTGGGATTGTCAGGAATGGGTTTAAGATGAGATGTAGAAGTGTTGTGCGCGTTAAAATGGATTTGTGCATGTCTTCTATCTGGGCCGGGTTTTCTATTGCTGGAGGTGGGTTTGGTGGATAAATAGATTGGGTGCTGGTGGTGGATTTGGTGGTGCGGGAGTTCGGTGGGACGGACGGAGGATTCTAGAACGATCATTCGAACTTGCCTGTTGGTGTTTTGGGATATACTTCAATTTGTAAATTTTCTACCTTTTTATATGTGTAGGAATCCTCTAGTTGGTAAAATTGATTGTACTATATAGAAACTAGTTACTCTGGATTTACCTAAACCACCAATTGACCTGTGATGCGTCAGAGGACGTACATACATATAAAGAAGGGAACTTACCGAAGCAGTGACACCATGTCCTACCCCCTTAATGCTATGCCACCATCCTTTCGGAATGAACATCCCATCACCAGCCTCCAGCTGCGCTTCGTACCCAACATACTTGCGTGCCGAACTGGCCGTGTTCAAACCATCGTCCCAAACCTCTTTTTCTAGCAATGTCCTCTCTCGTCCCTGCATCATTTCTGACCCTCGAAACACAGCAGCTTCGCGATTCCCGCTCCTCCCTAATTGCCTTCTTACTGACGCGAACAGCGCCTGTCCATCATCGGGAGCAATTAACCGCACAATTTTTCGTCCAGCGAGTTGAACGAATAAATTCGGGTTGGGGTCACGATGAAGGGGGGTGTATGTAGGGGGATAGCCGATCCACACATTGGTGTCGTACACATCGCCGTTGCCCGCCTGGGACACAAGTTCAGGGGTTGCAAAGTCGTTACGAAGCGTCTGTGGCAAATCGGATAGCTGGCATTGTGCTAGATACAGTCGAACTGACTGCGATTGTTCCTCCGCCGTGCGCATCCATTCCAGAAAAAGACTGAGAGGTGCATGGAATTGTCTAAAACTGACACCATCCTTGTCCGGTTCTGTCGACGGCTGTGTAAGTTCTAGTGGAACAATAGCGTCTGCGCCATGCTGCTCAAGGTGTGTGGTATTCAATCGGGATACATTGGGCTCGGATGGAGAAGACTGGAACCAGCGTCCAAAGGCAGGTAGATCGCGAAAATGGCGGCGCGGGAGGATAACAGGAAGCTCGGCGATGAAGTGCTCCTTGCGGAAGTTTTCTATGCTCGCATCGTCGAGGATTTTCAAAGGATGATACCCGCAAGAAGTTGCGACGGAGGGAGAGTTTTGGGTGCTGAACTGAGCATGTGGCCTGTTTGGATGATTGAATCGCGTAACGGCGGGTGAAAGGCGGTACCAAGCTCCTGGGTTACCGTTGAAAAGCCATCGCTGGACCTTCATTCAGAAGATGAGCGTTGTTTATAAGTTTAGCCCTGGTGAAATGTTTCAAGATCTCTGTTCCCGAAGATCTCTAGCTAAACTCGGGTGACAGCCGATCGGGGAATTTTCTCTTCCGGATTCCGAAGTTGAGTACATATGGCGTACATTCAAGACAAGAAATGGCTAATTGGTTTGCTACAAAATATTCGGAGCCCACCAAAGAAGAAGGGATTTAAATGCGGATTCATTCAAAGTACGCCCTGAATCTGTGAAGCACAGGACAAACCAATGGTTATTGACCGAAACTTACTATGTAGAAGCTTTCCCAGTACTAGTCCTGACAGCTCATAATGATTCAGTGGCGGGGACTCATTTTACCATAGAGGAAATATTGGCCACTAATCAGGCAAGCAATGACTACCAAGTTCGAGGACTTCGGCTAGTAGCATTTATAGCATCCACTATTTAATAACTATGACCATTGATTCTCGCAACTTACCAGTGAAGCTCACGGGAATGGTCAGAGACCCGCCAATCCTTGCCTATTCAGGGCTGGTCTGGTCTGGGGAACGGAAACCCCGCGCACCCAATTGAATGAATGTCGAAAGGAATCTCTCCGCACCGGTTACTGCCATCGCTCATTCCCCTACCGGTTCATCGCACCTGAAAAGAGCGTCAAGATGGCTTCAGAGACCACTCCGGTGGATACAACGACGGCGCACCTGGCATCAGGCGATCAGAATACCCCCGTGGAGGGTGATAGTGCGAAGCGGAAAGCGGAACAGACCAACGGAACTCAGACGCGCACGAAGCGGAATCGTTATATATCTATCGCCTGGTATGATCCCGGACATGGATCGTCCAATTTTAACCCCTCCCTCTGCAAAACATGCCATATCTGTTTGTCTCGTGATATCCTGCGACAGTGGAGCTGACTGGTCTTGGTACTGTACTTCCAGCAATGAATGCAAGCGTCGCAAGATTAAGTGTAACGGTCAGGTACCGTGTCAACGCTGTGGACACCTCAATCTCGAATGTGAGTAGACGGAAAAACACCCGCACCTCCTTCATCCCAAGGGGCAGCGGTACGCGCGCATGTGTCATGCGGTTAATCAAGTCTTGATAGGTCGATATGCCCCTAATTGCTGCAACAATAACTTTAAGGATTCGGAGTATGTTGACCGAAATACCCTCGATTCTGCGCTTACCCCTGCTAATCTATATCCACTGTGACTAGTGAGTTCCGCTCGATGAAAGATCAGATTACGACTCTGCAAGACCAGGTCAATAGCCTTTTCAGTAGTCTAAATGAGCTGCGTTCGCAGGGATCTTCCATCGATTCGCCGAACTTTGATAATTTCTCCCGAGATGGTTCGCAACCTGTGTTTACTTCTATGCATGCTGGGCTGGCCAAACCACGCCTAAGGCATCCCCGATTCCACGGCCCCACGAGCTCGACATTCAATTTCAATGTCGCAAAATCGAGCCTTCAAAACATGGGCATCGCTCCGACAGAAGAAGTGATAACCGACGATCTAACTACGGCCCATGCGACACCTGCTGGCTCACCTCCCCAGGTTGCACCATTCGCGCCTCCTATCCATCCGACTAAAGATCCCATATGGGCCATTAAACGTGAGGATGCTATACGATTATGTCAAATCTACGAAGAAGAGATTGGGATCATGTATCCACTCTTCGAAATTGAGAAGGTGACACAGCAAATCAACCTACTCTACACCTTTATGGAGGCTGCAACACGCACGGGATTTGCCCAGCGAGCGCTGCCCGGCTCAGATGGTCTCCAAGACGACAACACGAACCTTATAAAGATGATCCTTGCTACAACGCTGGTCGTCGAGGGAGGTGGCCAGAGCGAGCTTGGTCAACGTCTTTACCTGAGTGTGAAACCGGTTATTGAGTCCAAGATTTGGGAGCCATTAGACATCAGAACCGTCCAGCTTTTCGGCATCGTGGTATGTTATCCTGGTTCATCGCGCAGACTTCTGGTATTTAACATCTCATGATTAGGCGACCTACCATTTCCACACGGACGATGATGCTATGGCCTACCGTCTCATCGGGTTGGCTGCTCGCATGTGTCTTGAACTAGGCTTGCATCGACGAGATGCGTTAGCGAAGTCATTTCCTAACGAAGATCAATGGCCAGAGATTATCAAGATCTTCTGGGCAACCTATAGCTTGGATAGGCGCTGGAGCCTTGGAACTGGACTACCGTTTGTTATTCAAGATGAAGATATTGATCCGAACTTACCAGAGCCGGTAGGATATGCTTACAACCACCCCGTCAAAGTAACCTGTTTCTAATAGATATTATAGGATGCATCGCTGCCGTACCTAAGGTGTATGATTTCCTATAACCGCATTAGCTCAAAAATTTGGTACGCTGGGCTTGGCTCAGACGGAACAATGGACATACGTCGAGATGAAATCGGCTATTTGGACTATCAAATTCTCCAGTGGTACAAGCACATTCCTGATGCTTTGAAGTTCTATCCGGTACAGTCACCAAAGCATGGAGAGTCTGTGAACCGGGGTCTTCGACGACTGCGAGTGCTGTTATATTTGCGCATGAACCAGCTTCGCATTCTTATCTACCGACCGGTCCTTCACTCAGCAGCTAGCATATCCGAAGATAAGGGTCATGCCCAGACTGTGGTGGATGTTGCTAAGGATACGGTTCGAGTGCTTACACGGCTGAACCAAACTTCTGACATTTACCGCACTCAGCAAATTACATTCAACTATTTCCTTGTTGCCGCTCTGGCTGTCCTTTTCCTCGCCGTTTGCCATGCTCCGACGGAGTTCAACCGGCAAGTCCGAGACGAGTTCTACATGGCTCTCGACCTAGTCAACGGCTTTAGCACGAAATCTTACGTATCGAAACGGTTATGGAAGGCCATCAAAGGCCTTCGAAGGATTGGTGAAAGGCTGGGCGTACTCGTGCGCCCCTTTGGATCAGATTCCAATGACCCTCATTCTACGGCGGCCGTCGCCATGGCGGGTTTGGCTGGCCATCCAATTGAAGATCTGTCGGTGTATGGGCCTATGAATGGGGTGAATGAACTCGGAAGCAGCCCATTAAATGGGCTTCAGATGAGCCATGAGCTGACAACCCTGTTCGAGGCTGTTGGAGGATTTGGCAACTTCATTGCATCTAGCACAGCGCAGGACGGGATGAGCGGGTTTGTAGGTCCCGATGGAGAAATTCCAAACACGGGGGAAGGCCTTTCAGGAATTCTGGGAGATGATGGTGAACTATCACGAGCCATTAGGGACTTATTTTGAGGGATACGCTTGTATGTATATTGACGCGGTGTGTATATAGTGAGACTTTTCTTTTACACGACGTCCCTCTCGGTGATTCTTTATGGACAAGCCTGACTACAGGGGAAACCACCTTGATACAATATCGATAGAAGTAAGCATAGTATATTTGCTGAGTGCTGGGACAGGGGGTAGTACTTGGTGGTCATGGACGGTCGAGACCCAGCCCTCACCACTGCACGTGACCCCGCATGGCTGCCAGCCGGAGCTGGAGAGTTAAACCTAAGTCCTCTTGCCAACCACCCATCCTCTTGAACCCCAATCAAAGCAGAAGCCATGCCCAACTGACGACCTACGGTTTGTGAGACCACACCTTCGACGTTGAGGGATCTCTCCACTTTCATCTAGTCCGCGACGGCTACGGCAACTGGGACCGCTGCCACACATCTTTTTCCACCGCCCCACGAAACCTAATTTCGGAGAACCCCTCGACTGCGGCGATCAATCACTGCACAATCAAGAAAGGGAAGGAGAGACAGGGAATCTCGGAGTCATTGCTCACTGTGCCCACCAAGGATAGCTAATTGCCAAGATCCGAATTTTATCTCCAATTTCCATGATCTTCTGAAGTCGACTCCTTAGTGGGGGGGATTTATCGCTATCACGTCAACGCCGCATCGCACAATAACTTTCGTTTCGCACATTGTTATGACCTTTGGGCCTGTCAGACAACCTCGTTCGCTTGTTCTTGGCCTCTAAGGTTGCTCCAGTCTTGCCTTCATTGAACGAAACTCCTAATCTCCTGGATCGGGGGATTCCTGAGCGAAAGCGACTTGGGCCGGGACGCAGTGTCAGCTGGTGCAAGTTGCTAGAGGCCTATCTCTTTACGAGATCACCCCAGAACGGTTTTTACCGGTAGCTCGGCAACGTGTCGAGAGAGACAGGTTCGGCGTTGGCCGACGGCCTAGACAGGCTGGATCTGAGTCAACTGTCTGAATCAACGCCCTCGTCATCTGCGTCCGATTCGTTCGATATGTCGTCATCGGAAGGTGCCCCGGAGTCGTGGATCTCCTCCTTTTGCTCCCTAATGGGCCATGAGTTCTTTGCCGAGGTGTCGGAGGATTTCATCGAAGATGACTTCAATTTGACGGGACTGCAGTCACAGGTGCCCATGTACAAGGAGGCGTTGGAGATGATCCTGGATGTAGAACCAGAGGAGGATGAGGATGAAGAGGAGGAGGAGGAAGAAGAGGAAGACGAGGATGAAATATTAGGTGATGAGAAGCCCCCTGGGTACCGGCGAGCGGGTGACCGAAGGCATACGCGAGTGGCTAGTGATTTGAGTGTAATAGAGAGCTCTGCTGAGCTGCTCTACGGTCTAATTCATCAGAGATATATTACTTCTCGGCCGGGCATACAGCAGATGCTGGAGAAGTACGAGATGCAGCATTTTGGCGTCTGCCCCCGCGTCTACTGCAATGGATGCAAGGTCCTGCCGGTTGGTCGGTCTGATACTCCAGGTCAAGAGACGGTGAAGCTCTTTTGTCCGAGCTGCCAGGATCTGTATACACCCCCAAACAGTCGATTCCACTCTGTTGACGGTGCCTTCTTTGGAACTACTTTTGGATGCTTGTTTTTCATGACATTCCCGGATTTGGACATTGGTCCTCGGCTCGACAGCTCTCTTGTATCGCCGGCACGGTCATCCTCAGTAAACAACCAGGTCTCGCCCGATGTTCCCCCAGCTCATCAACCGGTGGAGATTAACGGAGTGCGGACGGCCAATTTCTGCCCCGGACTTGGACCGGGCAAGATCTACGAATCACGGATTTATGGATTCCGAGTTTCGGAGCGGTCTCGGACTGGACCACGTATGAAATGGCTGCGGATGAAGCCCACGGATGTTGAGGAACTCAATGAGATGGCTCGGTATGAGGCAGCTCGTAGGGAAGCCGACAACGACGGCGATACAGAAATGGGCGCCGCTCCTGCAGGAGGAGCGGAGAACCCAGCGATAGCAAAGAGGAAAAAGGCACCCATGCGGAGACGGCGGTACAACCCTGACCAAATGAGCATTAACGGCGCCGAGGCGGGATAAACGGACAGAATAGCTATTATCATTAAAACTTTTTTGGGCGATGGGAAAGAAATATTTAGAAGGAAATAGTGTGGAAGTGATGGAAGCGCGCATGTTGATTTTTGTGATTCTTTTTCTTTCTTATGTGTGTCTTCTTCTCGCCTATCATCCCATAACTCCCCCGTTCCCTTCCTTCATCAACTATTCATGTATGTCTTGTCTATGTTCACTGAATTATGTCTCATCTCTTTGACTGCATGAAGGCGTCTTCGGGTCGACTTTTCCGTCTTCCTGGCGTACAGATTCACGTTCGAGTACAGTACACAGAGCAATCATGGAATTAAAACTTCGAATGTTGATGACTGAACTGGTTGTAGTTGGTTATTATCTCGGTAGATTCAAGCATGCAAGCACAGTTCCCGTCGCAGACTCTCGGGGACAGGGCTCTGCTCGGTATAATAGTGCACCTAGCATTCATTGCTCGTCACTTTCATCTCCCGTATGCAGACCTGGATAGTCTATACCAGAGAATCAGTCGAACAACAATATAAAGAGAGAATTGAAGGAAAGATACATCCAGCCCGCTGCCAACTTTTTGGTCTACGGCAGAGATCAGCAGTGATAGTGCTATGGAAAGGAACTATCCAGGAAAAAGATGTAATGGCCAGGCCCGTACGGCTTACCTACATTTCTATCTATCTTGCTTGCACAGGGGCAAAACGAGGCTTCTACCATACATATAACAGATTGCTAGTTGGCTGTTCTTTCTTCCAGCATATTTCATGTCCTGGATGTATGAATCGTCTAAGACTATGTTTGTTTATGTGTCTGTGCCGTGTTCTATCTAGAGAATGGAGTTCAATATTAGTCTCTTCACAAGGATGGTTCTTCACAGGGTGAGAAAGGTAGAGTCGGAGGGCATTCGCTTTGAGTGCTTTTCTATCCTATATACTGTATGCTGGTGACGTCAACAACATACGCAGTTAATATAATCCGGTCATAACGGCACGGTTTCAGGTTCTCAATCTTCACTTGCTTCTTAGGCCGGGGGCATTTGTAGGGTTGGAAGGTGCCTGTCTGGGCGATTGAGAAAGCAGAAATGACATCTCGGACCTGCGCACCCATTCCTAGGCGAGACTTGCATGCATAAACAGCAAAAAGTCACTTTGAAGGTGTGTTAGTTTCGAGCCGAATGGGGAAAAAATCAATATTAACTGTCAAGTCCGACGCATCGCATACTTGCTGTTCTCCGGCATGCAATGCAATGGCGAGACATGCGCGAATAAAGCCTTGCGTATTCTCGTGAAAGAGCGCTACGGATATTTGACGGCTGGTTGACAACTCTGCATCCACTTGCGCTTATCTTCGTATCAACATTATAGGTATGTTTATTCCATCAATTCTGGTCTGTTTTGAACGCGAACGAGGCCAGGTAGCTAGATCGCGTAGCACTGTGGTTTAGTCCGGGATGTCAGGCAGGATTGGATAGCCGGTGGAGACGCTCAGCGATGGTATGTGATATTCGGTTCCGTGAAAAATGCCATATGAGAAGTCAATATTTGCTCGTCCCTGCAAGGTGTGGAGTGAGTGTACGGGTGCTGCTTTGGGCAGGCATACGTAGATTTAGCGAGGCACAGCTTAAGCCGAGAACGATATAGTTTCTCAAATCTCAACTGCAGCGCTTGGGTTTGCTTGAAACAGTACCATTTCGCTGTATGGAACGGTCCGCTCGGTATTTCGGTACTCCATAGACATTAGGCATACGTTTAGAGATTGCTATCAGTCTCAGGAGTAGGACCCACGTTAAGACTTAGCGTAGAATTGTCGATGTGATAGTTCATCAAACTCTAAGAGGTACTTCGCCTGAGTCAAGGGGCATTCGGTTAGTCCGTAAACAGAAAGTCAGTATGATTCAAGCGCGAGACTATTTGGAGCTAGAGGAACGGTGAATAACGCTTGATCTTTTCTGAACCACGGCCTGGCCAAGCTTCGATTTGATAAAGTGGATTGGAATCAAGTGAGCAGCATCGGTTGCTGTAAGTTGTAGTCTCATTCCCCACCAATCCGAATTCGGTGTCTCGCATGCACTGGAGCTGTAGGCAATGCAGGAGTATTGCTAGCCGCTATTTCACTTTGGGCAATGCAAACGAGTCCTTGGAAATTTTGGATCGTTCATTTGCGTGTATGTTGTTGGTGATACTCCCCGAGAGTAAGCTGAAGAGCTCGGGGTTTGTCCGAATCGAGAGTCGATCATAAAAGGCTTGGCTCGAGGGATTGCTCAAAAAGAGGGGTGGGAATTGGTGATAGATTACAGATTGATACAAGTTTATTTATGGCGTTCGGTCCATGGGGGGATTGTGCATTAGAAAGGTGTAATTTGAGATTTCTTTGATACAGTTAATTATTATTCTTATTATTTAAATGATTGATAGAAAGCGTTGTAGGTCCATACTCCGTATGAACTTTTAACGGATAAGCAACAATAGAGATAAGGTCTAGAAGACATCCCGTAATCTTCATCAATAGCCACGCGCATGCTAATGATGCACGCTAAGGCATGCACTGTCATCGTCCCTCATCACTCCGTCGTCCATTTCTCTCTCGTTGAATCTTTCCCAAAATTGTGAAGACCCCAATTTGGTCCCTCAACAACAGGGATTCTTCGTATTCATGGTCGGACAATCTTCTTCAAAAATCTCTCACCAAATAATCCATGCATTTGGAATATTCGATCCATTCCCGAAAAATATGTTACTCGGGTTTCGCCGGTAACATGGGCCTCAAAAGACGAATTAATTGGCCTCCTTTGAGCCGCCTTGCGTCACCTTCCTTGACGAATCCAAGGTCGAAGGTCGAGAGTTTTCGATTCCACACTAACGCAAGGACAAGGCGACGGCTCAGCCGGATACGAGTTGACTATCGAGTCAAGTATCACCACCACTTCATGGATATGGCACAAGCGTTCCAGATTAATAATGGCTCCCATGCTTTCCGATTGCCGATTACAATCCATGTAACGTCGTCGACAGCGCTGGATGCCCCCCTTTTTGAGTTAGTCGATACTAAGTACTAGGGACCACTTGGACGAGGTAGTACTTGTACTCGGAGTATGGTCGGGTATCTGTCAGGGTGGGGGAGTTCACCAATCAACTGTCAACCCACTGGTCCCCAAAACCCGTGCGGGCTGTCAGCATTCAGTTTGCTCCCTCAACCCCCTGATTGGCTCGCTCGTGTGTTTTGAATTGGACCTTCAGACCAAGAGGCTGATCATCCAATGCTCTGTGCCATGGTTTTCAAAATGGCATAAGGCTGACCATCAGATCAAGTTCCGTGGCGGTTCAGGCGAATGGCCTGTACCACAACAGACCCGACATGAAGTTAATACGTTGGAATTGACGCCATACCTTACAGACAAAATAGACAGACTGAACGAGAAAAGGGGAGGGGTAGAACCAAAAAAAAGAAAAAGAAAAAAGAAAAAAGAAAAACAAAAATCTTTTTCCCCTTCCGACTGACAATTAAAGTACGAGCTTGGTACATCGTAAATATGCCATGTATTTTCAGGCCACCAATGATGTTCCAAGATAACCAGAATAGGGAATTGGTAGCGGTTGCTCATCCATCCCCATCATGTGGCTGCGTGCTATTGTTGACTTTCCAGCACATCTGCAACCATGAGGTCTCTCAAGGATCAGGCTGCCTTGCTGGTACCAGGGTGTGCAGAGCCCGAACTATTCCCCGAGATTTGACTAGGAGTAGGACGGGACCAAGTCCCGTGGGACGTTGTTAGGCAGTGTGGAATGGTGGTTGTACGCACTTAAGAGGCTCAAAATGATGATGGATCCTATACTATCTTTCTTATCATACTGGGTGGAACATTCGCCTTATGCATACACGCCATGAGATTCACTACCCACTAATGGCTCGGGCCATACAATTGGATAAGGGCCCCAAAACGAGTTCCTCCTTCAAACGCATCCAAGGTGACGAGCGAGAACATTAAATTGTCCACTCATTGTTCGTTTTCAGATGTAGCAGTAGAACGAGGTCAGAGATCCAACGTCCAGGGTAAAGCTTGCAAGGCTGAAGCTAGTTTCTCGACAATTTCCCCCGGGTAATTGAATTAATTTAATTCAACTCGTGAAATTGGCCCCCATGGATGTGTACATACATACATACATACATACATACATACATACACCGTACCACGTCATGATGGAGTGGTGGAGGCGCAGCATGTTCGTTTCTTGCGCAGAGCCCCACTGAAAGCGCCTATTTCAGATTCCAAAGACCAAATCCTCGCACTCAATCTATTTCACGGGCCAAAGCCGACAGGGCAAATCAAATCCAATCAATAAAAAGGGACAATAAAGGGTACCCGCAAATTGAGTGCAGGGGGGTTCTGTTCTGCCCGGGCGTGAAAGGAGCCTTTGCTTTTACCGCGTGCCAGACGGATGGCGCCGGAATGGGGCCTGTCAAGGGTTATGCCTTGAAGGGTAAATAGTGGTTGCTAATACCAAGATACCAATATTTGTCCGGAGCGACCTGCGTAAGTTTACCCATCCATATCCGCTTTCCAGTGAGTCCTCGCGGCAAATCACTTAGTTGAGCAGATTAACTTCTTGCATATCGCCCAGGTATGATTCCTTTTGGAACAACCCTTAGGCAACCATACCCGAAACTGGAATATTTTGCGACCACTAGGTATCATTGCTAGTTTAAAAGTTACCCAAGGTTGAAGGGAGAGGATTCCAATAAAATAAAATATAAAATAAAATAAAAAAGAAAGAAAAGAAAGAAAGAGAGCAAAAAGAATCAAAGGATATGGAACGCGTCAGGCTCCCGCTAGAAAATATTCCTGGGGAAAAGGTGGATTTGAACATAAGAAATGAAATACATCATTACGAAATCGATACTCATCGTACGAGGAACAGTCAAGAGTCAAGAATATTACCCTGATTGACTTGAAATTCAACAAGAACTCTCTCCAGTCTAGCCCCCAAATCTAGCGAGCAGTCCGA